GGACTGTAGGAGTTCAGGGATGCGCGTATACTGGTTGTTTGTTGTTCTTGGTGAATGCTGATCCGATCCATTGCTTTAGTTGATGGATGTATCCGATCTTGTTTGTGCTGAGGTGACGAGTAGTCTTGCAGTAGATCTCTTCGTGTTTATGTTGTGTTGTGCTAAGGTCTTGTAGTTCCCAAAATTTTTTCCCAAAAATGTCACATGGAATCTTTAGACACATGAATGGAGCATTAAATATAGATTAAAAAAACTAATTGCACAGTTTGCATGGAAATCGTGAGACCAATCTTTTGAGCCTAATTAGTTCATGATTAGCCATAAGTGCTACAGTAACCCACATGTGCTAATGATGGATTAATTAGGCTTAATAAATTCGTCTCTCAGTTTCTAGGCGAGCTATGAAATTACTTTTTTTTATTCGTGTCCGAAAACCCCTTCCGACATCCGGTTAAACGTCGGATGTGACACCAAAAAATTTTCTTTTCGCGAACTAAACAAGGCCTAAGGCGTGAAGTTGGGGGTATAGTTTCTCTGAATTGTAGATCAACTGACAGACTTTCGCATGCTCATAGCCGGTTTGTTTGCGGTACTCAAGAAACTGTCTTGATTGGTCATTCCGTAGGTGGGGACTTGTGAAAAAGCTGATTCCTTTCTTTTCATTTCCACGGTTGCTTTCTTGTTGGCGTGGGAAAAAAACAGTTTTCAGTACTGTACCGATCGACTTTCTTTTGAGACTTTTTTCTCCTCAACAAAACATTTCATAGTTCACACAAAAACACAAGCATACCAACGATTTCATTATGTGACATGGCTTCTAAAATCTGAATTAAAGAAGCAAGTTGCTTAACTGAAAACTGCCTAGTTTCAGAAATCATGGAGTTTAAATTTTGTACTAAAAAATGTATGCTTATGGACCACTATTCTAAGATGCTTCACATCTTGATGACGGCTGTCTGATCAGAAAAAAAATAATGCTTCAGATCAACCAATCAGACAATCCAGGATATGAGCAGATCATGTTGCATTCATTTCATCCACTGAAGCATGTCCCTTTTTTCTCCCTGAAGATTGGTCTAAATCGATTCAAATACACATTGCATTGTATGCTCTTAGGAGAGAGCACCATTCCTTTGGAGGGTTGGTGATTCAGACCAGCCTCGGTTGATTGATTTGAATTTCTTAACTACAAGTCACTTGATCTAGTTATAATTTACGCATCATGGACCATTCATTTTGGGAGTTTCCTATATACAACTAAAGTGTTATACTTCTTCCTATCTGCGCCTTCCTTTTTGTTTGAATAATCCTCCCTCTTTCACAATTTGCAATACTAGTTAGTCAATTAATAGCTTTGAATGTGATATCTTAAAGACATGTATTTTGTCATTCATGTTTGATGAAGACTCGTGTTTTTGTAGGATGAATGTTTAGTTCAAGTTACATTTTTCTGTATTAATCTATAGTCTTTGTAAACACTGTTTTGAATGATTTATTTTGTGTTATGCAGATCAGTTAAAATAAATGGCTGACGCAGAGGACATTCAGCCCCTTGTCTGTGACAATGGAACCGGAATGGTCAAGGTAATAAAAAGTGATGACTTGGCATCGCATTGTTGAACAAAATTTCTACCTGATGGTAATTATTGTTACAATTGAGAAGCTCATCAAGTATTAACTGTTTTCATTTTTCATAGGCTGGGTTTGCTGGAGATGATGCTCCCCGTGCTGTTTTCCCGAGTATTGTTGGCCGTCCGCGACATACAGGCGTTATGGTTGGGATGGGACAAAAAGATGCTTATGTCGGTGATGAGGCCCAATCCAAGAGGGGTATCCTAACCTTGAAATACCCCATTGAGCATGGAATTGTAAGCAACTGGGATGACATGGAGAAAATTTGGCACCACACATTCTACAATGAGCTTCGTGTAGCACCAGAAGAGCATCCAATTCTTCTTACGGAGGCTCCACTTAACCCTAAGGCCAACAGGGAGAAGATGACACAAATTATGTTTGAGACATTCAGCGTTCCAGCCATGTATGTCGCTATTCAAGCCGTGCTTTCCCTCTATGCTAGTGGACGTACTACTGGTAAGTGAACAAAGAATAAGCATTTTCATTTGTAAATTCTGTTTTGCTACTCTGGAATCTCAATAGAGCAGGAACAAACCGGGTGATGTTCAAATCAAATGCTATGCTCACAACCAAAATTAGCAATATATTGTCTAAAGTAAACTTAAATTGAACCATTCAAACCAAATAAAATTTAAGTTACTGCCTTGTTTTACAGATGTTACAATACACAAAAACTGTCATTATGTTCTCTCGTAATTTGTTTCTTGATATTTTTTGTCAATAGGTATTGTCTTGGATTCTGGAGATGGTGTCAGTCACACAGTCCCAATCTACGAAGGTTATGCCCTTCCGCATGCCATTCTCCGTCTTGATCTTGCTGGTAGGGATCTGACTGATTCCCTCATGAAGATCCTGACTGAGAGGGGTTACTCATTCACCACCTCTGCCGAGCGGGAAATTGTCCGTGACATCAAGGAAAAGCTTGCATACGTCGCTCTTGACTACGAGCAGGAGCTTGAGACTGCAAAGAGCAGCTCATCAGTTGAGAAGAGCTATGAGCTGCCCGATGGACAGGTGATCACCATTGGCGCGGAGCGCTTCAGATGCCCAGAGGTCATGTTCCAGCCTTCTCTCATCGGCATGGAAGCTCCAGGCATCCACGAGACGACATACAACTCCATCATGAAGTGCGATGTTGATATCAGAAAGGACCTGTATGGTAACATTGTTCTCAGTGGTGGATCCACCATGTTCCCTGGCATCGCGGACCGCATGAGCAAGGAGATCACCGCGCTCGCGCCAAGCAGCATGAAGATCAAGGTTGTCGCTCCGCCAGAGAGGAAGTACAGTGTCTGGATTGGAGGATCAATCCTTGCATCTCTGAGCACCTTCCAGCAGGTAATGCAAAATCATCCAACAGTTAATTCTTGATACACTTTCTAGATTGTTCGAGAAGGTTCTTGACATATGTTTCTTTCCTTTTTTTTGTGCAGATGTGGATCTCAAGGGCTGAGTATGAAGAATCTGGCCCAGCTATCGTCCACAGGAAGTGCTTCTAGATGTGGCCTAGCTGTATCTTTCATGAGAACCCCTTGTCTATTAGCATTAGCTGGCTGTTTCATGGACAAAAAAATTGTTGGGTCTGATGGCTTGTCTATGGGTGTATCTACTCTGATTAGCTCCGGTTTTTGTGTATGCCAATATAATTATTCCGTAAGTACGTGGGGAGTCAAGAACATTATGTGTGTAGTTTGATTTCATAAATTGATTTGAGATTCTTGAACTTTTCTAGTACCGCAACTGCTAGTCTGCAACCTTGCAATGTTCATCCTCTTTGTCATGAGCTTGTACTACTTGAAGATACTATGCCCCTGTTTGGGGAGGTCGAGATTTTAAGAAGTAGCTAGCTAGTGAAAATATGAAAATGCTAGGATTCCCAAATTGTAGCTTTTTGTTCATTTTCAGGGTTATATAATTACATATTCTCAAATTGTCGGTATTTGTATTATTGGGAGAGCTGAAGATTCTAAGATAAATATGATTTACATCAGTTCTCGAAAGGATTACATAATGGGTGCGCTGCTTGTGTTTTCATCCTGCGTAATGCTGGGATGCTTCGTAGCGCAAACCGTTCCCGTGCAGGTGAATAAGAAGAAGGAACAGAGGAATAAAAGGAAAACAAATATCGGCTTCCAATGGCTTCTAATCCAGGTTAGAGAATTTATTTTCACAATTAGAACATGATTGTTTATAGGCTAAAGTAATACGATCAAGATCTTTTAACGTAATGTTAGAATATGAAAATTAAGTATTTCACGTAAAACGATGTGGTAATAACATGTGATTAATTGAGTTTTAATTATTACAAACTTGAAAAATGGATTAATCTGATATTTTATAACAACTTTCATATAGAAATTTTTCGCACGAAACACAACGTTTAACAGTTTGAAAAGCGTGCCACGAAAATCCAAAATTTCATCCACTGCTAGCAGTGGAAACGAATAGGACCTTAGAGGGACTTGGTCCCTTAGGCGGTTAGGCCATCCTTAATCCTCCATGTTATCTAGTTTCTATAGCATTAAATACATCGTCACATAAGTAAAAATCCTATATGGCAAGAAAGTTAATAAAGAGAGAGGTAAAAAGATAAAAAAAAAACTATTTTTCATGTAAAAAACCATCTCTACATAAAGTACCAAGAATAAAAACAAGATGATATGTGAATAAAAGGAGAGAGAAGAGGGGTGATTTGATGAGAATTTAAGTTAAAGACAGCATCCATTGTATACATAGTTTCTACACAGAGTGTTTATATGACATGGCAAGTATAGAAACTACTTGATAGTTTTTGGGTTGGGGATGGCTACGTAGGCCTCACCATTCACGTGCCAACCACGTCAGTGATCACGTCAGGTGGGAAGTTACTTCACACGAGCACATTCTTCGTGTGCAAAAACGTTCGGCGCTGGCCGGTGGAAACAGCCAATAGGGGAGCAGATGCCGGTGATTTCGCGTCGCGATGAGCTGCGAGATGCAGAGACGGATCATGGATGGGAGAGTGGTCGTGTACCCAACTGTGTCACCGACCCTTGGATTTGCCAAAAACGACCGGACTCGCCGGCCAAAATCGCTTCCCCGGATGACACCCGCATCCGCAGCACGGCGGCAGGGCTGCACGGGTCACCTCCGATCCGACCAGAAAAGCAGCAGATGGCTTCGTTTTCCCATTAATTTATTTATCCCGGATAAAATGATTCGCTTAGCCTTCCACCCTTTGTGCACGCTGTGGTTTCTGGTTTTGGCCGCACGAACAACTTCAAAAACCGACGACTCGAGCGACGCTGATAGATCACCTGTACCTGTGCCTTACTTTTATCATCGATTCATCGTATTAATATCGTGACAATCCTGTCAACGCCGCACCTACTTTTTCACCCGAAAAATTATACTATAATTTAGCCTATAGGCAGTGAGCTTCTGAGCTGTTCCCACTGAATATTGGTGTCAACTCCGCGATACCACCAGTCGAACGCCGAGTTTTCGGTCGACAATGCCAGAAACAGCAGCGCGCGCGGCGCCGTGTGCCAACTGCAAAAAAACACCCACGCTGTCATGTGAAATCCCGCGATTTTTTTTAGCCGCAACTCGCAACCACCCGCGCGTCCGCCTCCCGTCGCGTATAATATAAACTCCTCGTCGCCGTCGCTTCGTTTTACTACTGATCACGAAGACGACGACTACGCAGCGATGCACTTGACACTTAGCCCTGGGAGGAAGGCGGCGCACGCCCGCACGGCGAGCCACCCGTGCCACTACCCGGAACTCGCGCGGCTCGACGGCGGTGTGCGGGAGCTCATGTCGTGGACGGCGACGTCCCGCTCCGGCGGCGAGGGGAGCTCGGGTCTCGCGCTCGTGGAGGCCGTGCTCGCCGCGCTCGGCGAGGTCCTCGAGCTGCCGGTGGCCGTCGCGGCGCTCCACGGTGGCGAGGCGGCGGCGGCGGCGCGCGACGACGCTTTCCTCGTGCTCGCCGACGCGTACGGCACGTTCGAGTCGGCGCTGCTCGCGCTGAGGGAGAGCGTGGCGGGGGCGCGGTGCGGCGCCCGGCGCGGCGACGGCGCCGCGGTCGCCGCGGCGCTGCGCGCGCGCAGGCGGACGGAGAAGGAGCTGTGCCGCCTCGCGGGGGCGATGCGCCAGGCGGCGTCGAGGACGCCGGCGGCGGACGCCACCACGGGCGACGGCGTGGGCGACGCGGTGGCGGATGCGGCCGCGGCCATCGCGGCGGCGTCGGAGGCGGTCTTCCTGGGGTGCGCCGCGATGTCGCCGGACATGTCGTCGTCGATGGCCAGCTCGCCGCTATCCAAAAACTGGCTGGCGAGGCTGCACCTGCACGTCGTACCGGCGTCCAAGAAGGTGTCGCCGGCGACGGCGACGGCGGCGGCATTGGAGAGGCTGGAGGAATGCATTGGCGAGCTGGAGAGCGGGAGCGAGAAGGTGTTCAGGCGGCTGCTGCAAACAAGAGTTTCTCTTCTTAACATTCATAATCCCTTGTAATTTCTCAGATAAAGAAACAGAGAAAATTCTGAATTTTGCCGTGCCAATACCACATCTTCATTTTCATACATTCTTCGATATTTAACCCCTTTGCACATCCATTTCTATTCGAGTCCACAATGGCTGGTTCCACGAGCAGTTTCCACATTGTCTATTTGACTTACATTCCAGTTTCCAATTACAACGCACGAACAATCTACAATTGGCTAGTCAATCCGAAACGATTTCTTATCGTCTGACAAAACATGCTAAAAAGTTACACCTGTTTTGAGAAGCTCAGGGTTCTATATAAAAAAACAGCTTTGGATTGAAATCTTCTTACTTATCGACTTCGACTTGGATTGAGATCTTTTGATTTAAGTCAAATAACTTTTATAATCACTGATATATGGGTGCATAGAAAAGAGAACTCATATGTCACTCTAAAGTCACCTGACTTAACGGCAGTGCGAATCAACCGCAACAGAGGGTGGATTTGTCGCGATGCCGTGCCTGACATCGCATTCATCCAACCCAGCGATCGATCCAACCAAACCTTGTTCGAGCCTGATCATGGCATGGCAGTGGCTTTGCTTCTCGTCGGAGAAGGACGCGACGGGTCGAAGCATTGTGCGTGCGCCTATTGGCTATTGGCGCCACCATCTTTGGGCGTGTGCACATCACAGGACAGGATTAGTGGCTTCAGCGATGTCGTCGTCGTCTTCTTCTTGCTCTCGTGCCGTCGCAATTGTTGGCACCGAGAGATGACACAGGAACAGGTGCACTGAACAACCACTACCAAGGCTATGGTGCCAGTATTGGGTCAGATTGATATTTTATCTGCCTTTTCTAGAATACTAGACAAAATCAAGTGGTTTCTTTTAATCTTTGGAGATGATTAGATTAGGCTAAAGAGTCCTTGCCTTTAGTAGTTGAGCTTAAGATAAGCTCCAACCAGGAACAGGCTTTGTGGCTCTTCTCTGAAACCTGGGAGGTTTTGGCAGGTGAAGAAAACAGCGGACCTGACAAACCGGAGGGGAGGAAGTTCAGTGCAGCGCAGCGCACAGCTGACATGGAGATGGAATTTTTTAAATTCATACAATACAAAATAATTCAACAACATGGAGTATAGTAGTAGTAGTAGTATAATACCATCTGTCACTCCCAAAAAAATTCAAATATAAGTGTGGAGCTGACTCTGCTAGAGTGATGTACCAGCTCACCTACACCTTGTACTCCTATCCAGGTTTTTCCCTACCTTCGGGGCTGGTGTTACGGCACCCCAACGATAAGCACGGTTACGGTTTACCCAAGAGGAACGTACAAAATTCATAAAAAAAATCTAATTATTTTTAAAATTTATTTGAATTTGGTGAATTCATCGTGGCCTTACCAATTACCGTATCTCGGCGGTAAGCGCGGTGCCGTCGGTTTCGTAAACTCTGCTCCTATCCATGTGCCATTTTTTTCAAGCCATTTAGGCAGTCACAGCTGTTCCCAGTAAAGCTCATGCTGACACCAGTATAGTACTAAGCACTAGCAGCAGATTAGATTAGCAGTTTTGCGCTCATGCCGGAGGAGAGAAAAACAGCAGCTCGCCGTGGCGCCGTGCACCGCACCACCAACTCCAAAGTGGGCAAGCCGAGCTGCCCAAGCCAAATGACCTTAGCCAACACACGAAAAAGCCAACGATTTCTCTATTTTTCAACGTGCAAGTGTGTGCAAACCATCACCTGCCCCCCGCCTCCCGTATAAAACCCCGCACGCCGTCTTCCTCACGAACACGAAGGATTCATTCGACCGATCAAGATTGAAGAAGCGACCTGATCAGTGGCAGCAGCAGCGGTGAGCTCGATGATTGGAATGCAATTGACGATCAGGCCGGCGGCGGCGAGGTCGGCCAGCTTGCCGAGGGAGCACTCGCACCCGGTCGTGGCGCGGCTCGACGGCGGCATCAGCGCGCTCAGGTCATGGTCCGCCGCCGCGGCGAGGTTGTCCGGTGTTGACGGCGACGGGAGGTGCGACGGGCTCGCGCTCGTGGAGGACGTGCTGGCGGTGCTCGGCGAGCTTCTTGGGCTGCCGCAGGCCGCGGCGGCCATCCACCGCGCCGGCGGCGGCGCCGCATGCGAGCGCGCGCTCGACGGGTTCCTGGCGCTCGCCGACGCCTACGGCACGTTCGAGTCGGCGGTGCTCGCGCTCAGGCAGAGCGCGGCGGAGCTGCGCGCCGGCGCGCGGCGTGGCGACGGCGCGACGGTCGCCACGGCGCTCCGAGCGCACCGGCGGACGGAGAGGGAGCTGTGCCGCCTCGCCGCCGCGATGCGACACGCGGTGCGGCGCACGCCGGCGGCGGCGTCGAGGACAGCGAACGACGCCGACGGCGAGGTGGTCGGCATCGTGGCGGAGGCGGCCGCGGTGACCGCGGCGGCGTCGGAGGCGATCCTCCTCCGGTGCGCGGCAATGTCGCGGGACGTGCCGGCCATGGTGCAGACAGCGGCATCGCACAAGTGGGCGTGGCTTGGCGTGACTCGGGCGGCCAAGAAGGCGGCGTCGCCGGCATTGGAGAAACTGGAGGAGCTGGAAGAATGCATTGGTGAGATGGAGAGTGGCAGCGAGAAGGTGTTCAGGAGGTTGCTGCAGACAAGAGTTTCACTCCTAAACATCCATAATCCCTTGTAATTCTGCAGCTATGTTGGTGACTTGTGTGTGTATACAGCTAGGTAGGATTTAAGGTAGGATATTAGAAGAAGTAGGAATGTGTATAATCACTGTGATATATTTAAGTTAGTTTCACCTGGGCAGATTTAATGTTAGATACTGAATTGGTTCTGCACAGGGTTCGCAATTCCGATACCCGGATGAAAAATTGCCCACAAGCGGAAAAACGTTGATAAACCGACAAATACCGATGAAATCCAGATAAATTTTGTCAAACAAAGATTCAGTTTATTTTTTTAACATGACTGAGAAATTGAGTGGTTTATATTTTGATCAGTTTTCGTCGGTATTGTGGACCCTGGTTCAGTCAAACTAAATGTACATCTTTACTGACTGGAAAAGGAAGACATCCAGACATATGGGATAACTGTTACAAGGGCATGATCACAGCGACAAAAGTACACTCAAAAGTTAAACTGTATATGATGAAGAGCTGCTGTAATGACAACTGATGCATATTAGTTTGTCGATAAAAACTACAGGATTCTCTAGTCGGAGATGACTGCAATTTTGATCATAGGTCCCGTGGTATTGTGAATCACATCCCAGTGGCCTTCCGCAGTTCACAATCAGTAGCAAGAAAGGCAATTTTGTATTCTCTAGTTTATATGAATCATCTTCGGTTCACATCATCTCCAGTGAAACAAGGGATATTCAATTTCAAACTTCAGCCAAGATCTTTCATCACACTGCTTTTGCTCTGGCGTAATTGTAGACCTGTTAAATGACAATTTGTCATGTTAGCTTCTGTAGAAATTTTGGTAGGAACTTATAAAGCTAGAAAATCAAGAAGAAGAAAAAAAAATGCCAAATGCCATCTTCGTGTACCCAATGCTGTAAACAAGGCTAGTAAAGTATGTGACTGGTTTAGGGGCATGAAAAATCTTGAGCTAACAAGAACAGATGAACTATATGAAGCACATTTCATTATGAAAATAAACTAGTGAAAGATAAAAGGATGTGTTCCGACTAAAATATTCTGGTATGGTAAATACTTGGTGATACTATTCCACATGCAGAAGCAAATTGCCATACTGGGAAAAAAAAACATTATCGGACATGTAATTGCCGCTACATTTCAACAACAATTCTGACCTACCAATCAGTGAAGTTCAGAGTCACACCTTTCCAGTTTTGAGCATCAACCAGAACTATACTCAGTCCAGCACATTGCATCAACAGATAATGCCAAACAATGAGCATAAATCCCTGAAAAAAATCCATATCCCTCATCTGGTTAATGGATGCCACGCGAAATTTACTGCCCATGATTATGCATCACCAACATCTTCACCACTCAAGGTAGTCCAAGCACCTGTTGAACAGGTTATGGTAGACGAAAGATTGTCCATGAAATCCGCAGCATACTTTCTCCTCCAGCTTCTTGGACATAACTATCAAATCTCTTCCTCCTGGAAATCACTTGTGTCTTCTTTAGCACCAGCACAGGCACGTGAAGCCATGTTAGCATTTGAATTGGCATTCCCAAGCCCACGACGACGGAGGAGCATGAGCTCAACAAGCTTCCTCCTCGCCTCCGACACATCATTCGGCTCAATGAGCTTGCCACGATCATACGCCTCACGCAAGAACACCGTGTGCCGCTTCCCCTTCGCCGAGAGGTAAAATATCCCCGGGTGATCCAAGAACACGTCCCGGACATTGACCTCGATCCCGAACCATTTCCTGAACTGGCTGAATTTCTCCACCTCCACCATTTTCTCCACGGTCAGGCTGAGGAACTCGTGCGCGATCCCCACCGCCCTCTTCTCCATCTTCTTCCTCGCCATCTTAGACACCCTCTTGCTTCCCACACCCTTCTGAATTGATACCTCGTATGGTGAGATGTATGGTAGCTGCTGCCACTCCTTCACCTTCTTACGGTATTCCTTGGTCAGCCTGAATCCCGGCGGGAACTGCAGCTTGAAGGCGTGTTTCTCCGGCCGTGTCTTGTCGACCGCCGGAGTGAACTCCTCGGTCGCCGGATCGGCGACGAGGTGTAGGATGTGGGTGTTGGGCTCGGCGGGGTTGGGAGCGAGGTGGAACAGGTTGGGGTGGTCGGCGACGACGGAGACCTCGAAGTCGTCGGGGAGAGCGAGCTCGCGCCAGACGCGGAAGACGGCGCGGAGTGGGAGGGAGCGGGAGGCGGACATCGCGAGGAGGCGGTGGAGGGCATGAGCCGCCGCCGCGGGGGATGCGGCGACGGCGAGGAGCTCGGCGGCGGGCGCGGTGAGCGAGAGGGAGAGCGGGAGCGGGGCGCGGAGGTCGAACACCCGCGGGAAGAGGCGGAGGAAGTGGAGCGCGCCCCGCCGGTGGAGGCGGAGCGGGAGGCGGCGGGCGAGGCCCGGGAGCGCGAGAGGCTCGGCGGGCGACGCGCGCAGGGCGTCCACCAGCGGCGCCGCCGCGACGAGCGGCAGGTGCGCCGCCGCGAGCTTCTCGAAGGTGTGGTCCAGGTGCCGCGCCGCCACGTGCTGCGCCGCCGTGGTCTTCCCCCGCGCGAGCAGCAGCCGCGCCGGCAGCGACATCGCGGCGGCCGGCGGCGGCGCCTCTCCGCCTCAAGCGAAGCCGCGAGAAGCCCTCGCTTCGTGGGCTTACTACTACTGGGCCTAATGGGCTTGGAGAATTCGGATTTGGATTTCTTTTTGTACGGAGAGCCCATTAATGGCGGCACCGAGCTTTTCTCTTCTCATCTGCTTCTCCAAAATTCAAAAGCGTTCGAGTTGCAACGAACTGGGAGATCATCGGAGGCGAGTCTCTCTCTCTCTCTCTCTCCCCCCTCCCTGGTTGCGCGGATTGACTTCGAGCTCTACTTTGATCCTCGAGGTGAGTGGATCCATGGCTGGAATCACTAGCAATTTCGCTTGCGTTTTTTCTTTGTGGCGATCGCACGAAGGGGAGGGAGAGGGTCTAGTTGATGGATTTGATGAAACCCTAGGTACCTCGATGCGGGATTCGGTAGAAAGGAGGAAGATGTCATTCCTTTTGTTGAGATTCTTCCGGTTGCGTGCAAATCTTCTGTTTTACTATTATTTTTTGTTTGTTTCGTTGTCCTTTTGATCCAAAAATTTGTATCGTCCACAAATGCTTTTGGTCCAGCTGCAAGATCATCATATAGTACGAAGTAGTCTTTTCTTCTCAATATTTTCAAGCCATATCTGGATGATCGTAAATTCCTTGACCCCTTTCAATTATTTCTTAAAAATCCTCTCAAATCCGTAAAAAAACTGATGTGTTTGGCATAGTTTTTAACTTTAATTAAGAAACACCCAGGGGTCTTCCGGCTAGCTCCACAATGTGGTAGGTTAGACGAACTGGGTTCGAAGTCTCACCCCTTTCTTATTATTTGATATTAAGTTCTTCCTTAATGTTCACGTCTTTTTTAGTTTTTAACTTTAATTTAATCTTCTGTAATGAAACTGTTGGTATAGCGGAGACATGAACTAGAAACTGTTAGTATTTGGTAGTAAAATCACTTGCAGAAATATCTCTTTATCCTAAAAAAAAATCAAATGCAAAATATCATCATGCAGAACAAGTGTGACAAAGGCATAGAGATTCCGTATTATGTTGCTTGTGGTCCATGCATTTCATTGCACCGACACTACTCCATCACCTCCTGCATCATACTGCATCATGAAACAAGCATCCTTTTTTCCATCCACTGTCAAGATTCATTTTTAAGTTCAAAAGAAAAAGCTGAAAAACGATGAAAATGCAGGGAAGCAAATGGAGGGCCGACAATCTCTCTCCAAAAAAAACCACTGTGTGCGTTGTCGTTTCGCCATTGACCAAATCCTGTCCACTCCAAGCATGCAGATTTTGCAAGGCAGCCAAAGGGTAAAAGCGTCAGGAAGTTGGTGTGAGGAGATAAAAAAAGGGAATAGCTAAAAAGTTGCGCTTTTTTGGGTTTTTTACCCCCCTGCTTCTACTGCAAACAACCACCATCATGGCCGGGCAAAGCTGCCCAGATTAATGATAGAAATTCACAATTTGGCTGTGAGGTCGGCAGAGCGCAATTGCTGAGGTCACAGGGAGGATCTAGGATCTCTGCATTCTGAAGGTAAATTCCAATTCTCTAGTTCTTGCATTCCTTTTGTTGATGATTCCTGTGGCATTGTTGTTCTGTATCCTGGAGATGTATGGTTTATGTATCTTGTGGTCGTTTCTTCATATTTTTAAATTGTGCTTCTAAAGTAGACGAACTATCCCTATTCTGGTAGAAATGATTAATATATGGTTGCAATTGCTCATTTTTTATCGTAAAATCGATTGCTAGAATTCCCCCTTCTCTTTGTTAGAATAGTCATGCTATAGTTTTGTATGACCTAGACAGTTTTTTTTAATACCTAAAAGAATTTTTACTGTTGGTGCAATGCTTTGAGAAGTGAATTGTCGAAGAAAAAGCAAAAAAAATAAAGTACAAGAACCAAAGCAAAGCACTTTTGAATTTTGATCTTTCTGCATAGTGGAAGTGATTTTCCTTTTAGCGTCACAAACTCCCAAGTCCCAACTGTTACACCTTGAAACCGAAGCTTAGCACAGAAATGGAAGATGATTGGTCCATGTTTCCCTCCCCAAGAGCTAAAAATAATCCAACCACTGAAGGTGAGTTTCTCAGATGTCCAAGACGGTTCGGAAAACAATAGCGCTAGAACATTCAGGCTCCATCGGTTGGCCTAAACTAAAGTCAAAGCTATAATTTAAATTTTCAAACTTAATTTAGAAGTTAATTTTAAGATATTTTCAAGATTAGTTTTTTCATATTGGTTTTTAAGTCACTAATGACACACATACAATAGTTTACCTATAAATTAGTTTTTATTTTCTAATAAATCATTTTAGCTTATTAAAGAACATAGATAACCCGTCAGCAAAATACCAGCCAGTAGCCACAGCCACACTCAGTGCAAGAGGCCTAATTGCAAGGACCGGAGACCGGGGCTCTTCTTCCTCGCAGGAAACCAAGAAATCCACTACTGGGTCACCATCGGAAGTGGATATTGGTCCTCCAGAGGACATTCCCTCGTTTTGTACATGTCGTTTAAAAAAATATTAATTTTTTTTAAAAAAATTGTTAAGATAGATCAATATATGATATATCTTTTCACAAACATGCGAGTTAAAATTCGACTTATATAATTCGAAACAAAAATAACAAATTTGACCATGAATTACACGTTCTATTTATAGTCAAATTTGTTATTTTTGTTTCTACTTGTATAAGTTGAATTTGAATTTGCATGTTTGTGAAGTGACATATAACATATTGATCTATCCTACTAATTTTTTTCAATTTTTTTATAACTTTTTAAGTGACATGCAGAAATAAGGAGATATTCTGAATTTAGTTTTCCATTGGTCATCTGGACATTTTGGTCCACTGCCACTGTACCAATGTGCCATTACCACGTGAGCCAAGAAACAGAGGTCTCCAAGAACCCTAGCTTTGGTGTTGGTAGTGGGGCACCCCCCTCTTTTCCTGCCCAATTCCACCCTATTTTAATCCCCGTGTCGGCGTGATCTTTCTGCCCCTGCGGGTGTAGTATGGCCACCATGGCGGCATATGGCCCCCTTTCACACGCACATCCTCCTCTCCTTTATTTATGAAAGGGGGGTTGGGTTAGCTGGGAAGAGGAAGGAAGCCGCTGCTGACATGTGACACCGTGTTTGGCATCACACCACTTCACTCCACTGGCTCAGTGGCTGCCTCACTCACTCACCAATTCACCATTGCTAGTGCAAGAGCTCGCATAAATAGGCAGAGCTGCTGCTCCTCTCCTCTCCCTCTCAGCCTCTGGAGGAGGAAGAGAAGAGGAGGGGTCTCTGCTTCATCTTTCTTCCTGAGCTGGCTTCTTTACTACAGGTCCGTAGTTTTTTCAGCTTGGTTTCTTGCTCGTATTGTTTCTTGGATTGGAGTGGTGTCGGTGTGTGTGGATCCATTGGGGAATGGAGGTGCTAGCTACCGCTGGGTGGTGTGGCATTCATGTGGGTTGCCCCTGCCATTTCTGTGAGATTTTCTGGATCTCTGTGGCCTGTGGTGCTTAGCTGCCACCATCTTGCTGCTTCCGCTTTGCCTTTTGCCTAGAATATTTATCTTCTTTAGCCTCTTTGCCCTTTATCCTAGTAGCAACTTTCTTTGCCTTCAGCTGGAAGCATAAATCTTGCTTGTACTGATTTTGGTGAAGCATAAGCCTTCAGCAAGAAGCATGAGCCTATGCTTCTGTGTAGTTTCCTCCTCTTGAGTGAAGCATAGTGTTTTTTTTTTCTTCCTAAGAATCATTTCATGATCTACAGTTATTAGTGGTATTTTGCGTCCCCTCCTGCTTTCTTGAATGCTATCTGTTCGTCTGTTTTCATAGTCTTGAATTGTTTCAACTGCTGCAGCTTAATAAATTTAAGACAAACAGTCAGGTGTATGTTTCCTGGTGTTGTCAGTAGTCAGATTAAACAATTTTGCTCGGTAGATCCCAGAGTTTTACAATGATCTGTTGTATTTGACTCCATATTCAAATTTGTAATCCGAAATTTATTGCCATGTGATCTTCACTAGTAGTACTAAGGTTGGTGCCACAATTAGTGTGCTGCAGTACATGCCATGGGGAATTTTTAAGATAGTGTTAAATTTGTACCATACTCCAGTAATACAACTCCAATTCATCCATTAGGCAACTTTAGAGCCTTGCATATCAATTCAGCTTTTCGTTTTCAGCTCAGATCAGGCAATTGTAGCTCAAGTTCTTCAATTTCATGCCTTTTTCTGCATCCAACAAAGCTTAGATTTCAGCTAAATTAAGCTCCTAGCTGACGAGTTCTTGAAACTTGCAGCAGCCATGGCTAAAGAGTATCCTGCCTCCCCCAAAGCTCAGCAGCTGCAAGAATCCAAGAAGCAGCGGCTCACCTACATCCTCGTGGTGAGCGCGCTCTGCGTCGCCTTCTACGTCCTCGGTGCGTGGCAGAACACCACAGTGCCCAAGCCGGCGGCGAGCTCGGCGATCACCAAGGTTGGCTGCGACCCGGCGGCGGCGGGGCAGTCCTCCGCCGTGCCGTCGTTCGGGTCGGCCTCGCAGGAGTCACTCGACTTCGAGGCGCACCACCAGCTCAGCCTCGACGACACGGGCGCCGAGGCGGCGGTGCAGCCGTTCCCGGCGTGCCCGCTCAACTTCAGCGAGTACACGCCGTGCGAAGACAGGAAGCGCGGCCGGCGGTTCGAGCGCGCGATGCTGGTGTACCGGGAGCGGCATTGCCCCGGCAAGGACGAGGAGATCCGGTGCCTCATCCCGGCACCGCCCAAGTACAGGACGCCGTTCAAGTGGCCGCAGAGCAGGGACTTCGCCTGGTTCAACAACATCCCCCACAAGGAGCTCAGCATCGAGAAGGCCGTGCAGAACTGGATCCAGGTGGACGGCCAGAGGTTCCGGTTCCCCGGTGGCGGCACCATGTTCCCGCGAGGCGCCGACGCCTACATTGACGACATTGGCAAGCTCATCTCGTTGACGGACGGGAAGATCAGGACGGCGATCGACACAGGTTGCGGGGTAAGGGGAGAAGATCAGAAGAAACATCTAGCTTCAGGTTTCTTGATGTCGTGGCAATGTGCTCATGCTTTTGCATCTTCTTTGCAGGTTGCTAGCTGGGGTGCTTACTTGCTGAAGAGGAACATCCTTGCAATGTCGTTTGCACCGAGGGACACCCATGAAGCTCAGGTGCAATTCGCGCTGGAGCGGGGTGTGCCGGCCATCATCGGCGTGATGGGAAAGCAACGGCTGCCTTACCCATCTAGGTCATTTGATATGGCACATTGTTCACGCTGCTTGATTCCTTGGCATGAGTTTGGTGAGCACTTCAATACATTTGAATTGGTTTCAATGTATCTTGCCCCAAGTTTTCAAGCTATCCTTAGGTCCAAATATTGTTCACTAATTGAGTTGGATGTTCTGAATTTTTTGTTAGATGGAATATACCTAGCTGAAGTCGACAGAATTCTAAGGCCCGGGGGATACTGGATTCTCTCGGGTCCTCCGATCAATTGGAAGACACACTACAAGGGGTGGGAGAGGACTAAGGAAGACCTCAAGGAAGAGCAAGACAATATTGAGGATGTCGCGAGGAGCCTTTGCTGGAACAAGGTGGTTGAGAAGGGGGATCTCTCCATCTGGCAAAAGCCTAAGAACCACCTTGAATGTGCCAACATCAAGAAGAAGTATAAGACACCCCATATATGCAAGAGTGACAATCCTGATGCTGCCTGGTATGGAATCGCTGCACCAACAAGACTATCTGATAATTCATTTAGATGTCTGCCACTGAATTAGTTTCTTTTACCCCTTCATGTGAACAGGTACAAGCAGATGGAAGCATGTGTTACTCCATTGCCTGAAGTAAGCAACCAGGGTGAGATCGCAG